TGTTCCTTTGGGTTTTTGAAAAGTACACATATACAATCTTTTATAGCTGCTATAACATGACTTTAATGATTGCTAGATTGGACTTTTTCAAAAAGTATGAATCCTATAAGCAAGTATTAACATTTGATAAGTTTGCCTGTGCAACAACAGGATATTTCCCTATGTGCATACAAAAGTGATTCATTCTTAAAAGTAAAATCAGACAATAAAAGCATGATTAAAATTAGATTTCCTGCTACTTACCAGAGCATACTATATAACACATCCACCAATGCTTCATCATCCATACATTCAATCTTATTTTCTGCCAAGATGCGAAGTACAAAAAACTGAGAATGACTTCTTATATAATCCATAGTTTCTGAGGACCAAGGCCTCATCTTTTGAACTTGCACAAGTTTCTTAATTGCACTTTTCACATGTTTTTCAGAGAGTCTGGCTTTGTTCTTGGAAACAAGACTGAACACTTGGTGTTCATTTGTAAAGTTATTGAGTTGGTTCAACAAAGTGTCACTGCTCCAAGTTCGACAGTTAAAACGTCTCGTTGCAATTGGATAAACACGTCTTAGGCAAAGCATATTTGTCATTTGGATGGGCTTCTTCTTCCAAGGGCATCCAGAATTTCTCTCTTCATTTCTGACTGCACATGCATAGATTAGAAAAAGAAATATCATTTGCAGATATAAAACAATGTGTTTCCTTTACCATATAATATGAAGTGATTGTAGGAAGAATAAGAATGCAAAAGTATTTGTCTGCCAAGATAATTTTAATTAATAACCCCAACCCCCCCATGTTTTAATTAAATACAAGTTACTCTTATTCAGACCACCTATAAAAACTATAGTAAGAAACCAAAGGATTCACACATTTTGTTTTCCTCCTATTCTTATGCTTGTTCTGGCATAGCAGTGAGGAGGAATTTAGGAAGTTTAGCATAATTTGGAAATTGACCCTAACTTGTCACGACCTCTAACCATGGACAACCATGCAATTATATTCCTATATCCCTGTTACTCTGTTTGTTCCCTTATCTCATTCTAGATATTCCAAATGGAGGCCTATGATGGATTCTATTTTCCTCCATCAATTGACACAGCCCGTCCTATTATGTAGAACGAAGTCTGGATTTTTTATAAGAAGTATCATTATTATCATTATTGATTCAACATATGGGGTGCTGCATCAGTCAGGCTTCCACAACTTACAAAATAACATTCAAGAAGATGCCCAAGATAAAAAAAAGTAGTAGAATTAAAACATCTGCCATAAGAAAAATATATATGTGAAATTAATTCAGAACTGTGGTAAAACTGAAAATACAAAACAACTCATCACAAAACCAAATATAAGAAACAATAATGCAAACTTGATTAGAAAATATGGAATTTTAAAAGCCAAAGTAAAAAAAAAAGTTATTTGAATACTGGAGGTAGTAATTTTACTGTGAGGATTTGGGTAAAAGTTAACTGTTTGTTTAATTAATTTAATGCCATCCTCTTTGCCTTTCTACCGTTACTACAAGAGTTTGGCTGACCTGAGGAAAAACATATATCATCTAACTCCCAGGAAAAAATGGAATCAATCAGAAAGCTTAAAGGGCAGGTTTGCATTACACATAGAACCTATTGGGGTGAGAACTATTAACGAAATACTAATCTGGTTGTTCACGCCAGTCAATCCAGCAAATCTAGGGCAATCCTGTTGCAAGACTGATCTCATTTTACAACATCCCAGTCAACATTTCTGCTTTATTTCTCACCCAGTTTTTAAAAGAAATAAAGTATTTGTGATACTTAAATGGGTGTAGTATCTTTGTTTACCATTCCATATACCTCATTTTTGTGTGAAGATTGAAAACAAATGAGAAACCGGAGGCACCATTGGATCAGCCCTGTTTTCCATCTTCTTCAACCTGTCATATTTAACTCCAAAAATGTATTTCTTCTGGATCCAAATTACCAAAAAGGTGGCAACTTCCATGAGGGAGCCATGTGGCCCGGGGTACATGGCCTGACTCCTTCCCTAACATGAGGTCCAGAGATCTTCAAAAGGTAAGTGTGCAATGGGTTAAGGCATGGGAGGAGTAGGCACAAGGCCTGTAGGGTCTCCATAGGGCAGGATTGGGATGGGATGGGATGGGGGTGGGTGGGTGGGGAGGAGCCAGGGGATGCTGCAGTATTCCTGTGGTCAATTTTAAGAGTGAATGACCACAGGGGAACTGCAGCAGCTGTAACTTCAAAACAAAGTTGTAAGTAGATTTTGGGGGACGTGTCATAAATTTGAGTTCCCGTTATATCTCGAGGACTACCTGTACCCTGATTTGTTTTAGCTACAACTTGATGCAAAGTTCAGATTTGAAAGGTATGCCAAATTCAAAAGTAACCCAACTTTCCATGTTGTGCAAATGGACCTTATATTCAGAAATGTGCATTTAAATCAGATTTTCTTGGCTGAAGTGAACTCCAAGAGATCATTACCAAAAAAGACCATCTTACTGCAGGATGGATAAAGTCCAGATTCCTTCAATTACATTTTTTTAAAATGAGCATGGCTATTTTAAAGAACTGCAGGTGGCTGCTTATGTCTACATATTGAGAATGATGCATAGCTCTGGTATATAAGAGCAGGAGACATTTGTCATAATTAAGAAAATCAAGAGAAAAATATTAGTTTGGCCATTTCCTTGATTTAAAGCAGATGTATCCAACCCGAGACGTGTCCAACCCGTTATCTGCCTGCGGCAGCACAAGATCATAAACTTTTAACTTTATACACACATATATATTAACTGTACTACATATAGACAATTTCTCTTCACTCAATGTGGCTCCAAGGCAAGCCAAAAGGATATGCCTAACTTAAACATAGAACCATAACAGAACCAAAATAAAAATGTGAATATGCATGGTATTTCCCAAGTGATGACTGGATGATTTTAGAAAAACTTAAAACTTATAAAACCCTAGGCTAGGGAATTAATAGCTTGTGTTTCTGTTAATGTCAATGTCTTAAAAGAAAATCATCTTCATTTCATGAAAACTGCATAAAAACAATTCATCAAGAGTGAGCATATTCAATATTTTTGTAATAGCATTCATATTACACCAATTATTGTAAACATATGATTTACATTTCTGACATAGTTTCAATACTAAGCTCCACAAAGTTTCTCTGAGATAATAAATAAATAAAATAAAATTTAAAAAAAACCCGTTTACTTTCCAAATGTTTGAAAATTTTATTCTTCCAATAAGTACACAATCTGCAAGTGTAGTGAGTACCATTTCATGAAGGCAGTACAGCTCTTTTCCAAAATCTGGAATTTCAACAAGGAAGCATAACACGAAAAAGACAAGACAGCATCTGAACAAACATCTTTTCACACAAGACACACATTTAAGGTAGGCGTAAGAATCCCAAAAAGGAGAATGCAGCACTCTCTGTAAGCTAAGCAGTTAGAAACAACCTTTGGCGATGGAAATCACGCAGAAGCGGGGATACGACCTTCTGACACGATGTACTCGACTTCGCGTGTAACGAAGCACGTCTGATCACGGGAGCTGCCTTAGAACTGGAAATCAATACCTAGCTGAACTCTGCACAAACCGCTGAAATTCTCCCCTCCGTGGGATGCAAGATACAGCAGCCCTCCTTTTTCTCCAGGAGCGAACTAAACCCACGCGGTGCCCTCCGGACGGCCATGCTACCGGTTAGCAAGGGAGCCGCCCCACGAATGACCCGCCGCCGGCTCCTCCTCGAAGATCACGTGCTACAAAAGCCATCCCTGTTGCGCCTTTCATCCCTGAAAGCCTCCGGCGGAATCCCACCTGAGGTACAAAAAGCGCCTGGAGAATTCCGGCCCCGTAGCGTAGCCGGCCGTTTTCCAAAAGCGAACTGAATCGTACTTCCTCGGCTTCCGTAACCGTCTGTTCAATGCCCGCTCAAAGAATCTGGTCCTGTCCTCCATTTCCCGGCATGCCTCGCCGACCACGCTCGCTACCTTTCGGGAATTGTAGTCTTTAAAAACGGGGGGGGACGCTTCGGTCTCGGAGGCGGGAATTCAGACGTTGGTGATGTTAAATAAATAAAGGCCAGTTTCTACTTCTGCCTGTGCCGTATCGTACAGTAATTGTATCGTACAGTAATTTCTTCGATTGCTATGACCCTCACGGGATCGTAAATTGGGCGGGATAAAGTTGAATAAATTTATTAGAAAATGTATATTGCCGCCTATTCGCACACGGCGGCCAAAGGCGGCTTATAGGGATATAAAAACTATTTAAATTAATAATTATTATATACTATTTATTATTGTTGTTATATCTATAATACAAAGTGATTTACCAAAAAGTTGGGAGATTATTTCAACTTTGGCAGAGATGGAATTTAAGGTTCCCATTCTGTAGGACAAACTGGACTTAACTAGTTATTGGAAAATTACATACGACACACATCGGCGCGTGAAAGGGGAATTTTGGAAATAGTAGAAAGGGTGATCAAAATCAGTGACAATAAATGCACATCAAAAGGAAGGATCATAAGCCTTAATTATGAATAACTGTGCTGTCAACGGTGTCGAAATATCGCCTCCAGGTCCTGTATAGCTTGATCCTTCTGCAAAGTGTTATGTATAACACCGTTTCCCTACATTAACAAACCTAGATGTGGCGTAGACTGGAAATAAGAGCGCCGTCATGTCTCGGTTTATCGGCCTTGTCAATGGGACAGGGCGGCTTGAAACGCTCCTCTTAAAACTGCCTTAGGCAATAGGTTTACTGGTCGCAGAAACAGAAAGGCGGGCGAAGGGCATCCCTTCGTTTCCTTCGCCGCCGATTCCGACAACAGAAGTCAGGCTCGGAGCCCGCCAAAGGCAGAGCAGAGGCAGCGTTCCCAAGAGGGCGACCCCCCCCCCGCCCCCGCAAAAAATGCCCAGCTGTGGAGCGGCGATCTTTGCCTGCCTTGCCAAAGCGCCTACACGCGCGCGCTCGCGCGCGTTCCCTTCCTCTCTGCCCGCGCCAGCCTCCAGCCGCCCCGGGTTTCCCGCTTCGTCCCCTCCTCCTCCACTGACGCAGTCCGTCTGCACCAGATCCTAACATGGCGGCGGCGAGGTGGTGAGGAGCGCGGCCGGAGGGAGGTTTGAAGGGCCGCAACGAGAGGGGCTGGGTGAGTGGCCAGAAGAGCCCCGTGGCCAAGCGGGGTCCCACACAGGACCGCAGAGGCAAATTTCGGCGGGGGGTGGAGAGAGGGGGTGGTGGCCCTCGGGAGAAGAGCGGAGCGGGCGGGAGAAAAAGGTGGAAGAGAGGAGGGCTCGCTCTCTTCCAGTTTGAATCTGCCTCACGCTGACTGTGGGGGGGAGGGGGGGCGCAGGGGTGAACGGGGAGAAGAGGCCTTTTTTCCTCATTCAGAGTCAGGGGCTGATCCTGAGGGCCTCGACGAGTCCACAGGTCGAGGGAGAAGGAAGAGAAGCGATTTCGCGTTGAATGGCTGAGGGATATAATACAGGCCTTTCAACGTGTGGGGAGAGCGGGGGGGGGGAGCTGTCTCGGGTTTTAATAGTGATTTGTAGGGTTTGTTTCGGGCAACTTGTGCAAGGATCCGCGTTTCTTCTCTTGCAAATATTACACTGAACAAAATTAAAGCTATTCCTCCCCCCCCCCTCGCCCTTTTCCCTCCAGTTTGTAGGAATAGATGTCGCCTGGTTTAAACGGCATTTTTAATGAAAGAAAGTAGTCTGTGTCAACGTTGAAAAAACAACTTGGGGGAAAAAGACAGATAAATGGGACAATTGCTCCGAATACTAACCCAAGGAAAAGGTTGGGTGGGGGGAGGCAAAGAGTAAGAAGTGATGAAATTAATAGACACAATGGAAAGAGGAGAGGAACTACTAAATGAATCAATTTACACCAAGTGGGATTGCTCTTAAAAATACTCCAGCTCTGTGTTGTTATTCCTTTTGTATTGATCTTCCCACACTGTACTACAGGAACTTGCCAACCATTAGTTATAATATATTCCAAAATCAGCACTTTATTTAAAAAATGGATCTTCACATGTTACTTATTATTGCAATACTATAATCTTGAAATTCTAAAAAAACCATAAGCAGTGTTTTTTTTTCCAAATGTACAGATTATATTTAAAGATATATACTCTGAAGGATAAGGAGATGATGAAGTAGTACAATTTTATGCTTTTCAGTTATAACAATTTGTGTCTTCAGGAATTCAAAGCATCCAAAGGGCAAAATTAATTTGCTTTGGGTTTCCTAAGTGAAAGCAAAATTTGGCTCTTGATTTCTCTCCTCCTTTTCTTGAGGAAAAAATATATTCAGTAGGTGTCGGAATACATTTAATAAAATTACAGATTATTGGTGCAACATTTATTTATTGGATTTTTATCTTTATAAAAAAAAGTTGGCAAACGAGATCAGGAAAAATATCCAACGTTTTTTATAGTGGTTATTGCAGTTGGTTTTTTAAAATCGATTTTTAAGGAATTTGTTTAATATTTGTTAGTTGGTATAATTGTTTACATAAGGCATTTGAAAATTAGTATCAGTATGGAAATTTGTTTTGCTCAAAAAAAAAAAAGGTAATACAGGAGAGAATTCAAGAACCTTGTAATTAAAGCTTTGTTTATTGAAAGTTCATTTCATAATGTATTATTCTATACATCTTTCTGGATCCAAGGAATTTTTTTTCTTTTTGATAGTCTTAAGTATCACTGTATTGGAAACTCTATTGGCAGTGATTTACTTCAATTCCGTTGCTTTGGGTTTGGTAGTTAAATTTGTGATAACTATGTTATTTAGGAAAGCCTAAAGCAAACTTTAAATTTGGCAATAATAAAATGAAACATGAGACTCGTGTAAATACATCATACAGTAAATACATTTATGAAATAACCAGCCACAACTGGGATAATGTATATGTATCCAGTGGCTCCTTATATTAAATAAAATATTGCAATATTAGAAATGATTCAGAAAAGAAAATGAAAACAGTTGAGAGATTGCAGTACTTTTTATTCTGTGTGTTTGTTGTTCAGCTACTTTAGTCACTTCAACCATGGTGATAGCAATGCAATGATAGTTTAGATTGTTGTTGCCAGTGGAACTTGGTATGATGGATAGCTAGTTTTGCATCAAGAACCTCATTATAAAATGGGTTCATTGTAACTTCAGATAGGGTACTTCCTAACAGCTGAGTTTGTGTCATCACTCTGCATTGGGTTTCATGGGTCCTGTCACTTGTAGAGCCTCTTTTTCACTTGAGGCACCCAAGCAGGAGGTACCAATGTTGGTAATAAAGCTGAAGTAGACATGGTGATATGAGGGTGCTAGTAAAAGGCAAGTAATGAGGAGCAGGCTAAAGTTCTGGCCAGTGCCTTGATGCAAAGCTAGGAGTTGAATCATCTCTGCCTGTCGGGCCCATGTTTTGTATTAGGACACACTTTCTTCTCAGCTTGGAGCTGTGGGCATCAACTTTTAAATGAACCCAGTAAATGCCATGGTCTTGTACATCTTTGCCTGTTGCCTGGCAAACATAAATTAGTTGGTCAGATAAATAGAGATGAGGGAGAGAACCAGAAAATGCCAGCTCACCTGGGACCCAAAACAATACGAGATGCTTCATTCACTGTATGCGTAGGAGTGTAATAGATTGATGATTTTGATTGCTCTTTCACTTTACTTGTTAATAGCATTGCTGCCTTTGGGTGTAGATTTGACTTGCTAAGCATGCCATATTGGGTTATTCATTTTTAAAGTACTGTCGCAGGCTGTAGAAAATTATTTGAAGGACCAATTTGGCCTATGTTCTATGAGTTTGAAACTCCTGAGCCAGTGCATTTAGAACATAATATTTTTTTTCTGTTTAAATATAGCTAATAAGATGAATATAGAAATCATAAAATTAGGTTGCCACTATCTTATTTAAAATATTTAACAAACATTTTAAAAAATAGAAGTAGCTTATGTTTGTTGAAGAGAACACTTAAACCAAGAGTCTTCAAACTTGGCAAGTTTAAGACTTGTGGACTTTAACTCCCAGAATTTCTGAGTTAACATGAGTGGAAGAGGAATTCTGGGAGTCCACAAGTCTTAAACCTGACAAGTTTGGAGACTCCTGATTTAACCATACTAAGTGCTTTTTTATCAATCCACCCCAGGCTAATATTAGAAAAAAAATCTTTTTTGTAAATGTCAAACTTTTTGTAAAATCTTTTTTACATATAAAAAATTTAAAGTTATTTATTGAATGTTGCCTAAACTGAACACAAGAAACATTATATACAAGAGTGAGTAGCATTTTGGCCTTCCAAGGAATTAATGACCTGCTTTGCCTTCATGACAGAGGAAGGAGTTCTGTTCTCAAAAAGCAGACCACTTATTTTTACTTTTATTTTATTTAAAGAGTACTGGTTTATTAAATGCATGTAAAATAACATATGCTAACAAAGTCTCAATTATTTATGGCAGTGGAACTTTCAGAAAATTAAATGTACATATTCTCCCCAAACTCAAATCATAATTTGCATACTGTGCCTCTTAATATTAAAAAAATCCATCTCAGTCTGCCTTCATTTCCACTTTGTTTAATCAAGCTTCTACTCAGTTACTATAAAAAACAAGACTAGACAGGATTTTCTGTGTGATCCAGCAGGGCTACTGTTAGCCAATGAAAGCTGGTAATAGATACTGTATTTAACAAAAAAAAATGGGGGGGGTATGATCCTAAATTTTAAAGCTCTTTACTATTGGAAGTTAGACAGAAAACCTTTCTGTAATGGGGGAAAATGTCACTGTGATGTTTTATCTTGCCCCTGGTGGAGACTGACTGAGGAAGAGGAGGAACAGCCAACAGGGAGTGGAAGTGTGGCTCCAGAGTTGGTGGAGGAGGCTGGGGAAGGGCAGAGGCTGGCTGAGCAGTCAGAGGAGGACCCAGGCCCATCCTCTATCCATCCTAAGGCACGCAGGGAGGAGAGGATCAGGGTAAAATGTGGTTTACTCAGGAGATGAGGGCCATGATCCTCTTCATGGGTTGTAGGTAATACTAGGGTATTTAATTTCTGATTGATAATATGAGTTATTATGTAATGTAATTGTAATTGAGACTACGAAATGGATGCACAAAAAATTGGAGACAAATTAGTTTTTTGTTGGCATTTTTCCAACAGACTGTCCCAACAGACTGTCCCTGGTTATCTTCCTGAACCTGGCAATTATCTATCCTGGTCTGTCGAGGAACTTTATTCAATGCGGTTTGTTTTTGGTTTTTGCTTTGTTAATCGGCTCTTTGAATGTGAGCTGTATTTCTTGCCTTTTAAATGTTATTTTGAAAATAGTTTACTCCTCCATTGTGAACAATTAAACAGTGAAGCCAAGTTGAAGGCATTAATGGACTTTTAGTTACGTTTTGGATTTTGTTATATATTTTTGTTATATTTCTGATAGACTCTGGGTCATCACATGTCATGAGTTTGACACCTGTGCCCTAAGCGGATGGTTTGGGATTAAACCTAGTTTTCTTTCAAGTACATATAAGTATTAGGAGAATTTGTGCATGTAAAAAATTATATCCTAACCTTTAAAATATGATCTAGTTTGGCTTCTATATAAGAAAGGCATGGGATCAGATTACTTGACAGACTGCCTCTCCGCAATTACATCTATCCATCCCATCCAGTCTAGGAAGAGGGGCATATTGCATGTCCCATCAGCTATAGAAGGTGTCTTGTGGCACCTCCCCTATGGAACATGATTCCCCCTCCCCAGATCATACTGACCTTCACCTTGCTGACTTTTCACAAGGTTCTGAAGACCCTGAGCATGGAGAGCAAGGAGTTGATGGTGCTGGTACTGTGACTATAGTAAATGTTTTGATGAATGGCATTACCTTGGCTGTTTTATGTATTCTGTCATGATTTTTGTATGCTTTCATATTTTTTCCTGTTTTCAAATAGTTGTATAATATTACTCTTTTTTGTTGTATTAGTTTTAATTGTTAGCTGTCAAGAATCACATATATGAGAAAGGATGATTATATAAATTTGAATAATAAAAAAAAATGACAATGAGAAAGCAAATGCAGGTAGCCCTCGACTTATAGCCACAATTGACCCCAAAATTTCCATTGCTAAGCAAGTCATGTTAAATATACTGTGCCCCATTTTACAACCATTCTTGCCACAATTGTTGAGCAAACTGATGAAGTTGTTAAGTGACTTATGCAATTGTTCAATAAATCTGGCTTCCTCCATTGACTTTGCTTGTCAGAAGCCAGCTGGGAAGGTTACAAATGGTGAATCACATGTTCCCAGGACACTGCAGCTGTCATAAATACATGCCAGTTGCCAAGTGCCCAAAATTTGATCACATGATCCTGGAGATATTGCAATAGTCATACGTGTGAAAAATGGTTAGAAGTCACTTTTTTCAGTACCATTGTAACTTTGGTCACTAAATGAATGGTTGTAAGTTGAGAACTGCCTGTATACTGTATCAATTTCTGTTTCGTGAGTTGCAATTACATAAAGCATTGGGAGTTACATGGGAATACATAATCAAATATAGTTTTTAGCTCTCTTGTATAAGACAAATAGTTAAAAATGTAGGATTTGGAAGTTCAAAGGGGAAAGCAGTGTGAAGCACTATACTTAATTCTTTGATCTTTTTTCTTCACATTAATAGTATTTCTATCATGATCTAGAGCAGGGATCACCAACCTTGTGGACCTCAGGGACCACCAAACTCATAATTTTAAATCCCAAAGACCAGAGACCTTGGGAAAATCCCAAAAAAAGTCTGCAGGAAAACTCCGCACCCCATTTTCCTACTGATCAATCATTCTTTATTTGGGATCGCAGGATACCGTTCTCAGGGAGAAGGAGAGAGAGAGAGACTTTTGGCTTCATGCAAGGAAAGCAGCCTTGTGTTTCCGCGCAGCCTGGATTAATTGCTTTGGGGGTTGCTTTGGGGATGACATTTCTCTGCGGACCACCAAAATTTTCTCGCGGACCACCAGTGGTCCCCAGCCCACTGGTTGGCGACCACTGATCTAGAGCACGGGTGTCAAACTGGAATTCTTCGAGGGCTGGATCAGCATTGTAGTTCTCTGTGGACTGGGGGGCAGGGGCTGGAATGGATGGACTCCTGCAGCACCCTGTTGGTCAAAAATAGCAAAGGTCTGGCCCATGGTGCCTCTGCTAGTGAAAATGGGGCATGGGCTCCCCGCAAGCGGCCCCCATGGCCCGTTTTCGGGGGCCAAAATGAGGTGTAAAAAATGGGCTAAAACAGGCACTGTGGGCTGGTCCTTTGCTATTTCCAGGCCGGCCCAGTGGGCCAGATTTAAGCACCCACGGGTTAGATCTGGCCCATAGGCCTTGAGTTTGACACCCCTGATCTAGAGAATACTGGAAATTTTGATATAACTAGAATAAATAATTCTGATTTAAAATATACTAATTTTAAGTTGCAGAAAAAATTAGGGAACTTCCAATTTATAGACAAGTTCTCAATGAAAGGAATATATTTTGATGGATTAAGTAAGTTATAGTTTGCATTCAATAAACTTATCAATATGCTTATCAAATGCTAGCTTTATATTATGCAAGAAGTGAAATTAACATTCAGCCATTTTTTATTTTCTGTTTGTAGCTTTAACCTGAAACTTGGCCAATTCTCCATGTTTTGGCATATGATAACAGATAATCAGAGTTGGAAGGGACCTTGTAGGTCATCTAGTCCAACTCCCCGTCCAAGCGGGAGACCCTACACCATTTCTGACAAATGGCAGTCCAATCTCTTCTTGAAAGTCTCAAGTGATGACGCTCCCACAACTTCCGAGGGCAAGCTGTTCCATTGGTTGATTGGTCTCTCTGTCAGAAAGTTTCTCCTTATTTCCAGGTTAAATCTCTCCTTGTTCAGTTTCCATCCATTATTCCTTGTCTGGCCTCGGGTGCCTTGGAAAATAGCTTGACCCCTTCCTCCCTGTGGCAGCCCCTCAAATATTGGAAGACCGTTATCATGTCTCCCCTGGTCTTTGCCTTCATTAGACTAGCCTTGCCCAGTTCCTGTAACTGTTCTTCACTGATGCCTCATCAGTGTTCTGTCATATATGAAATAATACCAAGTAGAAGGACCATTAAAATGTTAATAAGATCCATCTGTTTTTCAGTATTTAAGGAAGGGTATATACTAGTGTGAACAATGGTAGATGAAATAGGAAGGTGCTGTGATTTATATTAAGTTGGAGAAATCACCTTTTGACTATCAGATTCTAAAAGATTTGCCATAATTGTGCAAAAAAAATTATTTTACTTGGTGCCTTTGTAAGGGAGGATTGATGTAACGTTATCCATTTGCATATATTTCCTTCTCTACATTTATTTAATGCTAGCCATCACTCACTGCAAATCCAAACCAGAATTTGCATCCACATATAATTTTATAGATTAATATTGTAATAAAAAACCAGAATGACTTGGTTGTGATGCAGTATTTTCAGATTTGTTGAAATGGGGCAGGATCAATACTTTTTAAAAAAAATATTTTATAGAAACTTAATTATTTTGCATTGTTGAATGGTTCTTTCATCCTGTCATTTGATGTCTGCCATATCACTTTCTGGTATACCTGGAATAAGTTGTAAGGGAGTGGTAAATGTGGTAAAGGAGAGGTGGAAGGAAAAGGTCATATAGTAATTTGTTCACTGCTTAGTGTATCACTGTTCTGTTCTTCTTTCCCCTCTTCCCCAATGATAGAGGGACAATCACATAAGGAATTAGAAGTTGATTGTTAACACAGTTTGGACTGGTCCAATGTAGTCAGTCCTAAATATAAATACTTAGTATTGCATTCGTTTTAGAACCCATAAAAATAATCAAATCAAAATATTTTTGGTGCTGTATTGTTATTTATATGTATATATTTTTCTCTGCACAAAATAATAAAGCCTTGTAATATCGTGCCTATCATTATTATTACTACAGTTACCCTGTAGCAAGATGGGCAACCAATAAATTTAATAAATACATAAATTAGTATGCTGTAATCAGTCAGATTTCCTTATGATTTGTATTTCTGTTTCAGATATAACATTCTAAAGCCATGGGAGTGAAAACACAAAGACCTCGTTGTTTTTTTGACATAGCCATCAATAATACCCCTGGTAAGACTGCTGGTTTCAATGTTAAATGTTAAGCCTATCTGAAAATGCATTGGTAAACTGATTTAGAATAAGTTTATATTTATATATTGGTTTATATTTATTTCCATGCATGCAAGCTTGCCTTTTTAAAGTTAGTAAATATAAATGTAATGACTTTTTCCCCCTTAATTTTAGCTGGAAGAGTTGTCTTTGAATTATTTTCAGATGTCTGTCCAAAAACATGTGAGAACTTTCGCTGCCTTTGTACAGGTCTGTAGATATTTTTCCTTACTTGCATAATTTGCTATATAAATCTAATGCTGATTTAATTGTTCTTAATAATGTCACAAGGTGCAAAAAAAACCTAACAATATTACACATTTATCTGAAACTTGATAAGTATAAATATATTTGTTTGTGGTCTATTTTGAAGTATTTTAGTATTCATATCTATCTATTTATCTCTATCTCTATTTATCTATCTATGTATAATACTTTATTGGCTATCTGTTGAATGTCATACACTTTAGTAATTTAAAAATATGGTCACGATGGCTCTAATCTTGGGATTGTATTGAAATGTGGAACCACTTAGATTAGTTAAAGTTTTCAAAGAATTCTGAGTGTTTCTTTCTATAGTCAGAAAGACAGGGAAAACTGGATGATTCTAGTCTGAAAATTTTTTCTCTGCTGTCATATTGGAGCTTAGGAGTTTTGTTAATCCTGACTAACTCTTGAGTTTCATTTAGGTTCTTAGAGGAGACTATTGATTGATTGATTGATTGATTGATTGAATTTATTTTGCTGCCTAGTCGCCCATATTTTACCATAATATCTTCCTCCCTTCACTCACACATTGCTGAACAAATGATTGTAACTCAAGGGCGACCCAAATGCAGGTAATACAGGTCTACTCTTTCATTCTGAGACACACAAGAAAAAACAACTATATTTTTTTCCCTCCTATTTCTTTAGCAGTCTACAACCATGTTGCTTTTATCTGAAACAAAATTCAATCAAGCCTATCCTTGAATAGTGGTGTCTTACATTTAATAAGTTAACTGAAGTTTCATATTTTCTAATCAATGCATACATTTAGGTTCAAATTTCTGCGCCTGACAACAGTGCAAGCCAGAATGAGAGTAACACTAGCATTGCTGCACAAGGGAACTATCTAAATGAGATGGCAGCATCCAGTATTCTTCGCCCCACTTTCTTTTTCTTTGTGTATCATGTTGTTTGCTTAGTGACCATTTCATTGGAACCAATTGCAATTGCTAAATGAGGACTACCTGTATGAATTAACATACGGGTACAGTTCTGTGGATTTTGCCTATTAACAGTATATAGAAACATTTCACATTTCTTTTTTACAATTAGTATGCCTTTATTTTTCTTTTAGCGGTTTAGTATTTGGAGTTTTAAAAAACAACCAAAAGCTGATTTACAATTTTACTTGTATTCATTGTGTGAGTTTCTGTCACTAATGTATAATGTGCATTTAAATATTTATTCTTTGTAGGTGAAAAAGGTATTGGAAAATCAACCCAGAAACCACTTCATTACAAAAGTTGTTTATTTCATAGAGTTGTAAAAGATTTCATGATCCAAGGTGGTGACTTCAGTGAAGGTATGGCATTACTTGTTCCAAATTATTGCCTGTAATTGTTCAAATGTAAATACAAGTTTTACAGTATTTAAATAATTTTGATGTCTATTTTTTGTGATGAAAAACTCAAGATGATAGTCTCTTACCAAAGTTTATGAATGAACTTCTATGATAGTTTCAAGCAAAGTACTTTGCTAAAGATGTTACTAAAATACTGCCCTTTTATTCCATCTTAAAAAAATCTGAATTCATTTGTAAAAATATAAGAAAACAGTAAGGATTCCACAGTTCAATCCCGAACTGTCTATATTATCTTCTATTGGATGCTTTCATGATCTTTTCTTACATGTGTTTTTTTTCCTATACAAGGAAATGGGAGAGGAGGAGAATCAATTTATGGAGGCTTTTTTGAAGGTAAGAAGTATTTCTTCACAGGTTAGCCTGCAACTCCACCATTATGTTGTGAATATATTAGGAACCACATATTTTATGGATCTACAAAATAACTTTTACTAAGGATCATAGTTTATTTTGAGGTTCATAATGAGGATAATAAACTGTAGAGTTATTTTAGAACTTGTAAAAAGTCTGGCCTTAAGTGATCTCATAATCAGTGGCATACCAACTCACCTCTTTTTCTACTTCTCTTAAGGTAGTAAGTCCTTTCTTCCTGAGGTGTGTGATAGCCTTGTAGCTTGTCTCCATTTAACTTCCCTTTACCAAGGCCAGCTTAACCATTTCATTGGTTGTTAACAAACCAGCCCTCCTTGCTCATGTCTGAGGAGAGGGAGAGAGATTAAACACCATTCCAGTCATTTGACATGTCTTTAACAAACAGATTTTTTTGGCAGAAAGTGAATGTTAATTTGGCAGTTGGACCAAGTAGACCGATAAATGGATCTGGTTTCGGTCTTCCTCTGTAAAAACTAGAAAGCCGAATACTAGTTCTGACTAATCAATCCAAGTTCTTTTCATGCTCCTAGAAATGTGAGCTAGTGGTATTAAAAGGCTGTTACTGGAAGTTAGACAAGACACTTTTATGACACAAATATGTTGCATAAGTAATTGAAATGTATTTTTATTTCAAATTTCCAAATTACCTTTTCTAAAAAACAGGACTATTCATGAGGTATTTTTTAACTAGCAATACAGCATATTACTTTTGGCACACTCTTATAAATTGCATGTAGCAAAATATAATCCCCCCCCCCCCCCCCCCCAAAAAAAAAAATACATCTGTCTTTGGATAATAAGAATGGGACATTTACAGGTTGTTCTTGTTTAACAGATCAATGAATTACTAGATAGTTGTATTTCTGCATTCATTTATCATATGAGAATGCTGTTCAACAGTATTAATCAAATAATATTTATATTTTTGCCCAATAAACTGGAAATTATGGTATACATCTATGTCTTTAGTTTTATCTATTTGAATACTGTTTGGCACTGCAATGATAATATTTATGCAGCTTGACAATCCTAATTTAAAATGCTAAAAAAATGCCAGTGCAAGGTAATAACTTGGATTTTTGAAGTAATTCAAACGCTTTCTCTAGATGAAAGCTTTGCTGTAAAGCACAACAAAGAATTTCTTCTTTCAATGGCCAACAGAGGGAAAGATACAAATGGTTCACAGTTTTTTATGTAAGTATCATGCTAGCTCCATCATTTGGGTGGAGTTCCTTATGATTTAAATTGTAAGAACTTTGAATTGTTGGAATAACTTTCTGTTTACAAAGTATAAATACCTTTAGAACAGAGAATGCTTTTATTTAACTATTTCTAAGAATCTATATAAGAGATCTATATAAGGCATCTTACAACAGAAACAGAAATTCAGTTAGGAAAAAAATAGAAATTATTGATAAATTCTGAATATTGTACATCAAAACCAAGCAAAAACAACTACCATCACAAAATTCCCAAAAATGCCAAGTATATACAATTAAAATCACAATAGCATAACTATAAGAGAAGTTTAAAAAAAGAACAATATAACAATAAAAACATTTAATATATAAATGTAGAGGAACTTACAGATAGACTTTGCTATTGAAGGTGTACTGTAATTGGAGGAGGGGAAGCTACAAGTAAAGAATAAGTAAGAACTCTTTGCTCCTGAGTATGCTATAATAAAATATGAGGAGAGTTTGATGATAACTTTATTGCAATCATTAACAGTGCAAGAGAATTGGTATTCAAATATTTAAAATAACCAATCCTAAATTGACAAGACCAGGTTAGCTAGGAAAAGTACAAACAGACAAAACAGTTTGGCTAAAATACAATATTAAATCAATGCATAGGCTGTATGTATATAACAGGAAATTAAAATTAGCAATCTGTATAATATAAACTTGAAATAACAGTATGAAATACAACACACACAGAAATAGTATACAAATACACACATACACAGAGTCCTTGACTTGGGGCAGTAATTGAGCCTGCCAATTACAGTTGTAGGTTGTGATGGACCTAAAGCAGGTCACCACGTGACTGATTTTACAACCATTTTCTGGCAGTCATGAAGCCATTGTAAATGAACACTGGATGTTAAGCAAATGCCATGGTCATTAAGTGAAGCCACTTCTTTCCTATGGGTCATTTTTTATGAAAACCAGGTGTAAATGCTTTTTTTGGCAAAAATGTCATAAATCATTGTCACATGACCATGGGACACTGCAAACAGTTGTAAACGGGCCAGTTGCCAAATGCCCAAAATGCACTAATCATGAAAGATCATGGCTGTCAGAACTTCAGACCTGGGTTGTAATTACCGTTTGGGGGCTGTTGTATTTTCAAGTGATTGGCTAAGCAACTGGTTGTAAGTCAAGGACTATCTATATACCTGTATATTTGTAGATAAAACAATAAAATTATCCAAAAGCTTTAACAATTGTAAGCCTCTCTTACAGAAACCCTATTGTGGCTGAGAAATATAATGATCCACTTCTGATTATTCTGGCTGGTCCAATTACTCTTAATTATTCTTTATCAATTTCATTGTACACATGTTGTGCATTGACAATAAACGTTTGATTTGATTTGATTTACATGCCACCATACAAAACTTGGCAACCTTGTATGTTACTTCAGGGTTGATGTCAGAAAGTAGACATTGCTGATACTATTGGTCATTTATCCCATTTTGCTAGTCAGAAGGGGGGCAATTGGAGCATTTCAAGATTCTGTATGTAAGTGGATATACAGAAGAACATGTTTGATAGTTTCTATCTGTACTGAGTCTCAAGGACATACTCATAATGAATATCGGATTATTTTGTATCCTCCAGCCAGAAGTGCTGAGGAGAGAGATATTGGGCTAAGGTAAAATCTCTTTTCTGAATTAGGATATGAAGCTGGGTAAGATATATAGCTGGTGCCGGAGTCTATCTCCTGCTGTCTGTCATGGGAAGTGATATTTCCAGCGTCGGTTCTGATGGTGTATGTCGAACAGACATTGCCTGACTGTGACCCTTGCTCAGTTGCCAAAGATGATAAATAAGTGAGGGTAAACTTTAATACCATGGCTTGGGATAATGATACCAGCTGAAATATATTAGGAAAGATGCTCTTTTCTCTCTAATCCGCAAGCAGTCTCTACTGCTTTATACAAGAACAAGATTTGACATTAGGCCCAAGAGCCAGTGAAGACACACGCATTCATTGACCAATCTAAATGAAAGGATATCAGAATATGGGCTAATGAAGCCACCATATTTTTATCCTATTCAAGGAACCGAACAGGTTAGTGCTGACCACAGATGCCAGTCTTCATGGCTGGGGTATTCAATCCAGGGTGCTTCAAGGACAATGGTCACAGACAGATTTGGACTATAATACCAATTGGCTAGAGCTTCGAGTGGTCCATTTGGCCCTGAGACAATTAGAGGACGTGGTCTCAGGTAAGGATATCCTAATCTTGACTGACGATATGTCTACCAAGGCACACATTAACTGCCAAGAGAGGACGCATTCATTGCGACAAAATAATGTGCTACATATACATCATCTTGTCTAAACTAAATTCATTTAGTCCATTACTGTGTCCAGCCTGCAAAATAGATAGACTTCCTGAACTTTAGATCCTCAAATTCTTACAACTTCCATAATTTCCAGACAGCTCTGGTTCCTCTAGTTACGGATGATAGAGGTACCAGATTGAAGAATAGGAATATTCCTTCACTTTATAATCTGTTAGGTTGCTGAACAGGAGAGCACCTCCTTCACAATCTAAGTCTTGATTATATATGGCAGGTCAGAATTCCTACCAAAACATATCTAGGGACGAGAGAGAATGTTAATCCTCCTGGCATTCACAAGCAAATCAAAACACAAGCTAGTAAAACCATTATAATTCTGAGGGAGAGAAAAATCAGAAGCAATAAGTATATTAATAGGCATTCCATGAAATCTCAGTCCCCCAATATAGTGTTTCCTTCAACTTGCAACTAACCACCAATTCTCTTCCATACAATCATTAAAAACATATTCCAGATAAAACTCATGAAAGTTTACTATATAATGCAAAGTGCCATAGAACACTTAGTTGTTGCTGGTGTGGAAACATAGATAATAGTAAACTTTTCCTTATGTTTTTTGGTTTTTTTGTACTACTTCAGTTTCTTTACTATGTTTCTTCTGCTACTTACAAAGCACCATATCTGTAATTCCATCTAATTACTGAGTTAAAGTCACTCAGAGTTAAATGGTGTATCTATCTGTTTTATTCTGTTCCAAAGTGAAAGTAATAAATAGAATTACAAATAACCATACTCTGTTAGAATCAAAAACTCCCGTGAAATACGGACAGCTATTACAGCTTTATATTTCAAAAAGAGAGCTGTATATAGAGTGTTCTAACACTGTAAGAGCTGAATGATTGCAACCTAACCAGTGCCTGCATTAACAAAAACCATTTAATGTGTAATGACTGAAGTTTTTAAGGGCTAAATAGTGATACTAGCTGAAAATGTATATATATATATATATATATATATATATATT